AAATTTCTGAAGATGAGAAGCAAATTTCCTGCCCCCCCCCTCACTTTTATCTCAGAAGAAAATAAAGTTTTCAATTTGGAAAATAGATTCAAAGATGAAATTTTCTTTAGTTACCAATTTCTATTATTTTTTAGCACTTTGAAATTTCAAAAGGGGCGAAACACTATGTTCGCCCCCTCATTACTATTTCGGAAGAGTGAAAATTGGAAATAAAATATTTTTTCCGCTTTCACTTTACTTTTCCATAAGTCAAAAAACACATTAATCGCCCATAACAAAATGAAGTTTCCTACTTGATGTTTAACTTTAAAGCTGAGAAAGAATAGCTTTTTTTTTTCTTCTCTAAAATTACCTATTTTAATGGACTTCATCTTGGCGAATAACTAAATATCAGAAGAGGCAAAGCACATAAATGTTAGTGGAATATAAAGTTTTCTTATTTCAAAAATAGCTTCAAAATTGGAAATTTTTTTTTTTTAAATTTCCGATTTTACTTTATTTTTGTGAGTGTCTAAATTTCAGGAAGGGCGAAACGCATCGTTTGCCCCATCACTTAAATTTTAGAGGGGCCCTCTGCCTCCCTCTGGTTGGCACACCACTGGGTCTGACGCTAGATAGTAGAGGAAACAACTAAGTAAACCAGAAGTGCCATATACAGAAAGTGTTAACAATCAATTACATGCAGCTGTGGCCTTTCCCCTTCTCTGCAAAGCGTGTTTGTTCTTTTAAGAAAGGGAAATAATTTGCGAAAAGGTGTTTTACCGTTTCTTACCCTTTCCTTTATGTTATAGTAGGTACGTAATTACAAAAAAGAAAATTTTCAGCAACTCTATCTTAACACAATTTCTTTCCTACGTATATATAATTAGAGTACTGTATTTTGAAAAAACATGATGTGTTCTCTTCATGTGGGGCCCCTTTGACCGTCGGGGCCCCGGCGTAGTTACGGCCCTGCACCAAAGCATTGGAATAAACTTGAGCCATAAATGGATTCAGCCCAAGGACAGAATTTAAAAACCGAAGCTAATATCCTAATCTCTTTCTCCACCTCCACCAGAATCTTTCCTAAATTGCACAGTCCCATAGTGGTCAAAGGTTTCTACATTCGTTTAGCAACCGTGGGAAAATTTTATGTGGCATTCTAGTTTAACAGAGCTGTAATGGAGCAAATTTTGATGCAAGCAAAGTATCGCTAAGTTGATGATATATTTCAACTGTTTGACGATACATTTCCGTTTAAAGAAAGTGGGTATAACTAATGAAAATTTTAAGTAAGAAAATTAGTAAATAATTAAAATTAGTGAAGCTAAATAAATTATCAAAGAAAAAATTTCCAGTTTTTCTTTAAAATTCCCTGATTTTCCAGGTTTTAATCCAAATTTCCCTGATATTTCCAGGTTTTTTCCAGTATAAAAAAAATTCCCTGATAATTCCAGGTTATCAAGGTGGGGGGGCACCCTGATTTAAATAATTAATCAGCTGAAATTCAAATTACTTTTATTTAAAACAAAAATTTCATATTTTTTCTACAAACCAACTAAATTATTTTAAATATTGATTCCGTCTACCTGTTGAAACTTGGAAGTATATGAACCTAAAAGAAAAAAACATGAATTAGTAAGAAAGTCATGTTTACAATAGAAGTGGCAGGTTTTAAAATATTAGAAATTGTTTTTTTTTCTTCATAATTTAAATTAACTAGATGAAATTAATTTTCTTTTTCTGATAAATGGCATTCCACTTCAGCCATTTCTATTCAATCCTCGTAGCTAAAAAGCATGACAGGTACCACAGCCACAAAATAAAATACACTGAAGAAAGTACTGCCATTAACAACCTTTACAGAAATTCAAATATATAATTCCAATCTTATCATGAAATTTGAACGCATTTTATTTTCTTATACATCTGGTATCATTATGGTACTTGTAAGTTTGATAATTAGATTTTCTTTCTTTTTTTTCTTACAAATCTTTAAACTCAATAAACCTAGTCTATATTTTTTAACTTTTTGTCAGACTTCATGAAACTAATAGCTTTTTTGTAAATTTTTGACGTTGATTCTGCAAAGGACTTCTGTTATCGTCAATCACATCAGAGTTTCTTAAAAAATAGTTATTTTAATATTTTCTTAATCGATGTAATCAAGAATGAACAATCGTTTAATAAATTAATATTTTAAAGTTGTGTACCAATTTTTATGCATTTTTTACCCTCAATCGAATAAAACTAATTACAAGCTGATAAGGAGCATTTGTTTTAAAGTTGTGAGAAATTTTATGTGAGGAAAATGTCTAAGAGAGAACAATTTGAAATAATACTTTTAAAAAAAGTTGAGTAAAATATCTCCTATATAACTTATAATACCGAGCAGAATAAAACTAATAGTTAGTTGTTACAAACATTTGTTTAAATATAAAAACATATCCCATACTATGAAATTCAAAAAAATGCATTTAACTGTCAAACAATAAATGTCTTTATTTGCAATTGATTTTTATTCAATTCAGCATTAAATTTGCTTACGAAACAATACTGACTTATTTCTAAAAAATTTAAGATTTCCGAAATTCGATAATTTTTGAAGTACTGAACCATAAAAAGCTGCATAAAAATGCTTATAACCTTGAAACAAATTGTCATATAAAGTTGAAATCGGGTTTTATTTAATTCCGCTTAATATTCTAATAAGTAATAACAATCTGCTTATTAAATAATTAACATGGGTTAATTGCGAAAAAATAACATGTAGTGAAAAATAGCAGTATAGTGATCAAACATGAAAAAGTTAGCTAGTACAGTTACTAGTTTTCAATTATCAAATATCTAGCAAACTATTGTTATCAATAATTACATAAATTCTGTAGTTTATTAGGAGAGATTACTTTTTCTTTTAGGTATAAATTCAGAACTATTTCCTAGGGGAAGGATGAGCAGTAGCTTGCTAGCCACTTCTTCTTCGCTGCTGCACATGCGCTATTTACAGCCTAGGTCATCTCAGCAATATCAGGGAACTACTCGCGGATAAGCTTTGCAAATATATATATATATTTTACAAAAAGAAACTACGTGTTAATCAGATTTAAAATGCAGTGTTATTATACATATTTTCACTCATAAACAACAATATAAACTTTGCATACAGATATCCAAGCAAACCATCAGCATACAGCTGTAGTAGAATTTCAAAGCAAATTTACTATTTTAAAATCTTTCAATTTTGAATAATTTATTTATAAGAGAAATTATGAACATTTTATTCAATTAATCAGCTAGCATTCTGCTACGTTAAAACATATACATATAAGCAAAATAAAAAAAAAAAGTTATATTTGAATAAATAGCAAACAATAAAATATACTATGCCTAACCTGCTTTAACGATACACCAGCAATGTTACCCTAAACAGCGACGAAAAATATTCCGATTGTCCCCTCTTATTGCCAAGCCTACAATAATAGCCTCTAAGAATATCCTCCAATTTAAATTATTTAAGATCAGGACGCGTCTTTAAAACAAAAATAATAAAATTTAAATTTGAAAATTGAAGCATATTTAGTTAAAAGTGATAAAACTAAATTAATAAACGCTGAATAGAACAGTGAAAAGCACGCTTTTGCATAATACGAGGCCTGTCTAGGAAGTATCCGACTTTAATTTCCCCCACGCAAAGTACTGATTCTAAGGTGACGCCACAGTGTACTGTGTAAGGAGGAACATTAATGCACTTGTTTGACTTTTTTTACCACGTTCGCTGGTGGTCGCCAAGTAAGGTGCTGTTTGTAGTGTTTGTCGGATTTAGTTTTCTCGCAAGATGACTGAAGGAATTGAGCAAAGATACTGCATCAAATTTCGTCAAAAGCTTGGTGATTTTCAAAGCCAAACAATTCGTAAGATTCAGAGCAGGTGTTTGGGGAAGAAGCGATGGGTGTAACACAAATTAAGGAGTGGTTCAACAGATTCAAAGATGGCAGCACATCAGGGGAGAGTGAGCAGCGTTGTGGCAGGCCCCAAACTGNCCTCCGCGAAAAATTAAATTCCTCATAAAATATTTTAACTTGTGCAAAAAAAAATTTCAGCGGAAATTAGCGGGAAAAATGGAAAATTTTGAAAAAAAGCGGAAATCCGCGAATCCGCGGAAGAATCTCATCCCTGAGCTAATGTTGAGAGGTTTCGAAATTTGGTGATGGCAGATTGTCGTTTGACAGTATGGGAGATTGGAGTGAGCAAAGATTTTGCACATGTAATTTCGTGTGAAGATCTGAACACGAACCGGGCGGCTGCGAAATTCGTATCCAAGTCGTCGCAGGAAGAAAAAGACCTCCGTTTTGAGGTTGCACAGGACCTTCTGGACATCGCCAACAATGATCCTGGGTTTCTGAACACCGTGATAACTGGAGATGAGTCATGGGTGTACGGGTACGACCAAGAAACAAAAAGACAGTCGTCACAATGGAAGCATTCTGATTCTTCAAGGCCGAAGAAAGCGCGGTAGGTGCGAAGCAAAATCAAGGTGATGCCGACTGTTTTCTTTGATGTCCGTGGAATTGTGCATCATGAATACGCACTGGAAGAACAAACAGTGACAAAGGAGTACTATCAAGATGACGCAGTTCTGCGCAAAAGACCAGACATTTGGACGGCGAACAACTGGCACTTGCATTAATTATGACAACGCCCCTGCACATTCATCCCAATTGATCCACACTTTCTTAGCCAAACATGGAATTACAACCGTTCGCCAACCTCCCTACTCTCCAGACCTGGATCCTTGCGACTTCTGGTTGTTTCTAAAATTGAAGACACCTCTAATAGGATCTCATTTTGGGAGTAGAGAAGAGATAATGGGGAACGCGACAACGGAGCTGCATACCATTCCAAAAGAAGACTTCCAGAGGTGTTTCAGCAGTGGAAGGATCAGTGGGCTAAGTGTGTGCAAGCACAAGGGGCCTACTTTGAAGGGGATTAGGGTCCCAACTCCGTCAGGTATTCAAAAAATTTTTTCTGGGCAAAGGTCGGATACTTTTTAGACAGGCCTCGTGTGTGGCGAAAATCGACACGGTAACAAAAAAAAATCTCATTTTTGAAAAGGGAAAATTAAGCACTTTTTAAAAACACCCAATGAAAAACGCACCTTTAAAGGCTTTTAAATAAAGAAAATAAGCACTTTTTAAAAATGCTACGCACCATGATTACACACAATAGGAAACACACAATAACTATGCTTTTGAGTGACCTACATTACTATAGCTATACCAGTCTTAATTACAGGAAAAAGATAAAGAAATAAGGAACAGTTTAACATACTTCAAACAATGTTATAGTAAATGAAATAGCTTAGTATAGCTGAAATATCAGCCTCAAATATCCTATAGATAGTGCTTTGGTCACAACTTTTAAAAGACAAAAATAAAATTCTCTGCATTTTCCTAGTTAGTAAGAAAAAACTCAAAATTCTTGGAAATATCATCCTGATTTTTAAATTTCCTATACTTTCCAGGTTTTTCCTGGACTGTTACTTATGATAATTACTTAAGGATTTAGGCCGTGTTTAAGCTTGGAAAACTCTCTGTCATTAGACATGGATATCAGCCGATTAGACATGGATAAGGGCTGATGTCCACACGCCATTGACCGCAACCGGCCAGGGGGTCTACCTTTCTGCATGTATAATGTCTTGTGCCTACGTGTGGCTCGAAAGACTCCTTGGACGGGATCATTAAAGGGAGTGATTTTTAGGGAACATAGTAAATTAAAATGCTATTGATGCTCTAAAGCGCTGTGATTTCGTAAAAATTTATTATTTATTTTTTAAATTTTGTAATAAGAGTGTTTTGATTTTAAACTCCACATTATTTAAAATTAAATGTAATAGTCCTAAAATGATCAGTTTTCTTGTTGATTAAAAATTGTTCGCTATCTTGTTTGAGCATTAATAAGCCCTTATAGACGAACTAATGAACGAATACTAATATTCGTAATAGCTTAAAAATAATAAAAGTTATGTTTATCCATGAGTTTATCTCTTATTTAATGGTATTTTTTTTATATCCTGTTCTATTTTCTTTATAAGGATAGTAATCTTTGAATTATCATACGTTTTTTACCGTTACGTTTTGTATAAAAATAAAAGGAATGCAAAATATACTCGGGACAGTCGTTGTGGGCCAGGGAGTTTTGGCTCCAAAATTTATTGACCAATGGTATGTAAGTTTGTGCACAGGCTGCCTTTATTTCCCGCAGACAAATTAATAATTACTCTCTGTTAACTTATTTTGTCAATTCAGATTTATATATATATAAGAAATAATTATGTTCATTCAAGGTATGCAATTAAAATAATAAAAAGTAAATAATTGTTTAAAATTCGTAAGCAATATTAATAGTTGAATTTACATTATTGTTAAACAGCTTCATTAAGGAAAAATATGTTACCGATTTTGAGAGTGCGATCAGCATTGCGCACATATTACCTTTATTTTATCATTTTAGGCAAATTTTGTCACTTTTTTTTAAATAGTAAATGATTATACAAAAAATAACTATGTTTTCTCAACTTTTTAATTAAAATAATAAATAATAAATAGCTATTTAAAACTCTAAAGCAATATTAATTATTAAATTAACATTATCGTCAAATCGTTTCATTAACGAAAAATATATTACGATTCAAAGAGAGTGATCATCATTGCGCACGAACCTCCTTTATAGAAAAATATGGCAGTTACGCTATGTATAGTTGATTTTTTTCTATCATTTCAGCTTTTTTATTAACTTTTTTTTCAATAGGAAATGATTGTACAGAAAAGAAAAAAAACTATTGTCACTCAACATGTCAATTTAAAATAATAAATATTTAATAACTGTTTCAAATTCTTAGACAGTGTTAATAGTTAAATTCACATTATTTTTAAATCGCTTTACCAACGAAAAATATATTACGGTTCTGAAGCAGTCAGCATTACACACAAACCTCCTTTATGTTAGAGAAATATGGCAGTTACGCTATGTAAATTAAACTCATTTTATAATTTCAGCTATTTTTTGATACTCTTTTCTTCAATAATACATGGCTATATATATATATATAAAAAAAAACTATATTCACTTAAAGTCTTCAATTAAAATAATGATTAGTAATTAACTTTAAAACTCTTCAGTAATATTAATAGTTAAAGTTACATTATACAAAAAAAAAACTATCTATGCACTACCTTTTATGATATGATACAGTGATGTTTGCGATATAGTATGCGTATTGCGTAGTAAAAGAAAAGCAATGACATTGAAACAGGAAACATTTCTTAAAATTTCCACTTGACCCCTTAAGACTTGCCTCACTCCCCACACGTGACTGTCGCACGCTGACTAATGAGGGAAGTCTTTCCGAAATTTTTCCAACCTTGAACGAGGCCTTATTGTCAAAAACCTGCATTCTCTATGATGATCAGGAAAATAAAAGTGTTTATAAACTCATGTTTTAATTGTTGAAAAATTATTCCAACACTACATTATTTGATCTCATAAAAATATGTCAAAATAAACAAATTATACGATTTTTTATAATTTTCATCACTGTGTAAAAATGTCTCCAAATTATTCGATTTTTATAATTTTCATCACTGTATAAAAATGTCACCAAACTGAAGTTTTTTAAAAATTGAACTTAATAGTTTTTTAATATTTAAAATATTTGCCCATTTTAAAATATAGATATTACTTTTCAACAAGATTTTTTCAAGTACATAACTTAAAATTTAGACATTGTTTGTAAAAACCATTTGAGACACTTATTCAGTGGCTTTCTGTTATTTTACTTGGTGAAAAAGCTTAAAAACAATCTTAAATAAATAAGTATTATGACTTTTACAACAATATTTCAAAGCAAATGATTATTTAATTACCTTACGTATCCTCAATTTTGCTGCCTTCATCAATATTGTCACCAGATTTCGACAATAACTGCATAATATACTGGGTTGCATTTACTTCTTTCCACTCGGTGAGCTAGAAAATATCATTTTCAAAAATTAAAATATTTTTTTAAGTTTAATGCAATAAGTATTCAAAGAAATTCAGTTAGAATTAACTACGCTATAGCAGGGAGAGTAGCCAAATCTTTCAACAAAAAATAAGCACCTTTTAAGCCACATGATAGTGCAAAAATCCACTGAATCTAGCTCAGTTCATGCACATGCAGATCCACAAGTATTTCATCAAACATGTAAAATAATTGGTGCTTTCATACGTTACGGAACAACGGTATGCCAAAATACATTGTATTTGAATGATTTGAGAAAATGTTGAATAGAACGATGTGAAAACCATGCTTTTGCATAATACGCAGCGAAAATCAACACAGCAAAGAAAAAAAATTATAATTTTCGAAGAGAAAAAATTAAGTACTTTTTAAAAACACTCAATAAAAAAGCACCTTTAAGGGCTTTTAAAAAATGAAAATAAGCACCTTTAAGCACTTTTTAAAAACGCTACGCATCCTGGCTATAGTAAATCTCTATAAATTTTTTGAATAGAATGGTAAAAAAGGACATTTAAGTTGTTTCAGTAGGTTATCTTTTCAAAGGAGTGTATGAGTATTAAAGATAAGATGGGCTAAGCAAATGAATAGACATCTATTTCCAGTTTGAGATCCATGTGCAATTTGCCACATGTTTTTAACCATACAAATAATTACCCTTAATTCGAATAGTTTCCAAGCAAAACGGTTTTGCCTACATATACTCCATAGTATAAAGTATCAAAATATGCAATTAAAGAAACAATTTTTTTGAAATTTTTAAACCAAAAAATTCCTATTCTGTTTTTATTAAATGTTCTAGATTTAAAATAAGTTCTTTTTTTTGTTTCAACTGAATGGACACTCAAAAATATGAACTATTTTTAAAATGGCATAAATTTCATTTTTATTTTACACAAATAACATGAAATTTATGTAATATATTTCGTTTTAGAACAAGAATTTCAGAATATTCTTCTTGACAAAATTATAATAAGACATAAACGGAGGTAATTGTGAGCAAAACTCAAAAATCCTGAAAACTTCTCCAATAAAATCATTAATTACGTATTTCAAAAAATTAATTTCTTTATAAATTTAAATCATCGATATTTTCAAAACATGAAATTCTAAATGAATTATATGCAGCATAATTTAAATGAATAATTATGCATAAGTTTACTTTTAGCTCTAATCATATTTATTATTCTACCAGAAAAAATATTTACAAATGAAAGAGATGCCAAGTATAAATTAGAGTTCTAATATTTCTAAATAAAACATAAAAACTTTTTTATACATAAATGTGATCAATAATTGAACAATAATTCAATTATTGATAATTATTGAATAATAGTGATCAATAATTCTTGAAACGTTTGGACCTTGGAATTCTGGAAACTTCCGGATCGCGTTTACCGAAAAATCCAGAAATCTGGATTTTTTCCAGAGCACAATCATGTCTGCATAAAATAACATTTCCTTTAGGAAACAATTTGAGTATTCAAGGAAATTATNCAATCATGTCTGCATAAAATAACATTTCCTTTAGGAAACAATTTGAGTATTCGAGGAAAGTATCGTTTAAAAAAAAAAAAAAGCGATTGATCAAAATATGTATGGTTTTTAGTTGAGCATCAGTAGTTTTATAAAAACCAATTTCACTATTTCTCTTCTCTGCCTTTTTCCTCCATGATAACACGTTGAAAAAAATAAGTGCATTTTAATAAACATATTTAAATATGAATTTATGCATATTTATTTTTCAAGGGCCTCTTAGATATTTTTCTGGGGACGAAGTTAAAATAAAAAGTTACAATAGTACGCAAAATTCCACATTCGAGAAAAAAAATACATTAGACAAATTTCTTATTTGCAAAAAGATTTTTTTACTGGAAAAATATATAAATCGAATGAAAGTTAAGCCCGTACAGTCTACAGGTTAAAGTAGCCTAGTATAAGTTAAAGTAGCCTAGAACGGAAGATATACATGACAACACAATATGAGATATAGTGAGAGAAAAAAAATTATCCTTCAGGGCCTTGTGATAACAGAAGAAGCAGATTTTTTCCCTAAACTATTATTTTATGAAGTTGTACACATGCTTATAACTAAAATTATCATTCCCTTACTTCAATAAAAAATTGAAAATATAATAATTTCTGTATTTTTTAATATTGCATATGACAGCTATATTTTTTTTAATACCTTCCCTAGTATCTTACTAAAAAAAGAAAAAAAAAATAGAAGTTTTTGACTAAATTTACTTTTTTTACTGTTACTTCCTGAAAATAGTTTATTTGTAGAAAGTCACCTAAACACTAAACCAAACAATTAATCAATGAACCCTTGATAAAGCCTGCACATGGAAAAGATTTTCTTTTTTTTTAAATTCTTAGGTTTGAAGATTAGAACTCTGGATAAAACCTGTACATTGAAAAATTAAAAAAAAAAAACATTCTTAAAAAACTGTGAAACAATCACTTTTTTGCATCCTTTCTTTAAATTTAGAAAATATACATATGAGGAATGATGAAGCAAGTTCGAAGATTAGAACTCTGGATAAAGAATGCGCATTGAAAAGATTTTTAAAAAAAGTTCTTAAAAACTGTGAAACAATCACTTTTTGTCCATCTTTTCTTTAAATGCAGGAAATATACATATGAGGAACGATCAAGCAGGTTCGAAGATTAGAGACCCTTTACAAAGCCTGCACATTGAAAAGATTTTTTTTTAAAAATTATTAAAAACTGTGAAGCAATTACTTTTTTGCATATTTTCTTTAAATTTAGAAAATATACATATGAGGAATGATAAAATAGATTCGAAGATTGAAGTGGATCATCACAAGTTATCTCATCAGATGTAGTGGATCATCACAAGTTATCTCATCAGATGTAGTGGATCATCACAAGTTATCTCATCAGATGTAGTGGATCATCACAAGTTATCTCATCAGATGTAGTGGATCATCACAAGTTATCTCATCAGATATAGTGGATCATCACAAGTTATCTTATCAGATGTAGTGGATCATCACAAGTTATCTCATCAGATGTACTAGTAGTGGATCATTACAAGTTATCTTAGAAAGTAATTCAAAACAAATGATTCCTCTTCAGCATTAACACCTGAAAATAAAACAAGAATTGAGAAAATACAAAAGTTTGAAATGGATTATAAAAATAAAACAATATATTAAATATCAGTGGGATGTTTTATAAATGCTTAAAAATTAATCAGGGAAATATAATGCCTAAAAATTAATAAGGGTATATTAATGAATTTTTTAAGTGATTTTAAAATTATTTTTAAAATGCACCTTTAAATATTCATTTCTTTCCCCTGCATAATTTTCAATTTAAACTACAGGAAAATGCTTTCAAATTGTTTATCAATCAATCATTTCTTTTTAAATTTACTTTTTTTGGAAAAAAAAAAATATAAGCTTAGAGATTAATTTTCATCATGTCTTTAATTATTTTTTATTAACTAAAATTTTTTATCTTGTTTTGACAGTGTGTGAGAACTACTTTGTGAAATATATACATAAAATAGTATAAGAGGGTAATTTAAAAATTGTTGAGGATCAAATTCAGTTATTACACAATATTAAAATTTGATAAATTTTTACATGGTCTTAAGTGAGTGCCCTTTCATAATTCAAATTGCCCTTTTTTGTGAGTGGAAGCACCCTGCATTTTCTTATTCCTAGGGCGAACTCTGGCTTCAATTTGGATGCAGTATAATTTGCTTAACTCTACAGAATTTCATCAAAAAGCAAGAAAACTATAACAGTTTTTGGTTTATTTGAAATATTAATGAGAGTGTAAAAATAAATATCGATTGTAGTGATTTAAGGTATTTTTACTATCTATAGCAGACATGTATTTTTATTAAATCTAGTTAAAGAAATTGCATTGTTTTCCATGAAAAAACTGTCATATGAAGGTAGAAATCTGGGTGAAAACTCATCAATATATTAAATATGATCACTAGGTTGTGCCTATATGCTATTTTTGTAATTTTTTTTAAAATTGTATATGCCTGTTAAGTTGTAATCCCCCCCCCTATCATTTGTCTCCTTAAACAACAAAATTTAAAAGAAATTTTGCTTTCAGTGTTAGGTAGGTACTATATTTAGCTATCACTAGAGCAGCACAATGGGCTATTGGCGACAGTCTGGGAAACATCACTGAGGATAATCCAAAGACACGTCATTGCAATTTTGATCCTCTGCAGAGGGGATGGACCCTCGTCTTCAGTAGCCCGACAACATGGGAGCGAAGTCGAGCACTTTCCGGCAGAACAGTTGAACAAGGACCGATACCGAGCACCCTCGGTCCCTATGCAGGCTGATCAAACAGGTTACCCGCCCACTTACTAGCTGCAGCCAGTGATGCTTGAGGCATTCAACTGGGAGCCATGTCTATACGATCAGTTAACTGCAGAACGCTTTCAGTGTTAAAATTACTATGTAGGGCTGCAATCATGCAAGTAAATTATTTTTTAACTATTTCATTATAAAATATAGATAAATATAAAACATTAGATACTTACTAAAACTAACAAAGAAGTAAAAAAATTATCCCAATCATACAATACTTAGATAAGCCTAACCATGTACCCACTTTACCCCAGAGAAAACAATTCATAATAAATAGAATTTTAAAATTTATTTTCACATTTTATGTCATTAGATGTCCTTTTACCAGTGAACTAAAATTAATAATTTTTGCCAGATTTTAATATTAGAAGAAAGTTCATTAACAACTTAAACTCACAAACTGTATAAGTTGGTCATAAACAGTTAACAGTAAATTTTTTCGATTAATCATAAATTGTTTCTAAAACTGAAATAAAACTGCTTGTCGTAATCCCAGCAAATGACTCTAAAAATATTATACATATTTTCTCAATTTAAAAAGAGAAAACAGTTTTCTTTAACATATACACATTTTATCCCATGTACCCAACCTGACACCATTTTTTTTCTCAAAAAGGATAGAAATGTCAGGTAATTTTTTTCAATTCTTCCTGACCTCACAAGGAATGGTTTTACTAGTGTTTCCTTAGCAACAGTTAACCTCAGGCTTTTATTCATGAGGAATTCTAGTGAAAGCTGACAGTAAAATTCCAATGACTACGCAATGTCTGATTTCCTATGTTATTGAGAAAATAAAATAATGTCTTTAATTTTATAATCAACATTTCAGTTGAAACTATAATGCGAATTATACTGCTTTTGTCCAAAAGAACTTTATGCAGTTTTACTGAGAAATTTGTTTTTTAAATATTAATAATTAATTAATATATAATTATTAATTAAGAATGACATGGTTTACTTAAGATAGTATATTATAAACTAACTCAGAAAATTTAAAATAGGGTGTCCTCTTATTTCGTTATTTTCTTACAAAAAACAGGAAAAATGATTTTAAAGTTATCTTTTCAAGTAATTAGAAATCGAGATAGGAACAATAGAAAATGGAAGATTTTATGTGCAATGAAAGTTCCAAGGTACAGTGTTGAAGTATCAGCAGCTTACAACTCAACTCTACAATAGTTGTATATTTTGATTAGATATGTTGTAATTCGAATTTTCATTAGGCTTCCAAAATTATTGTAAATATCGTAATTAAAGCGTTTTCCTTTTATAAAATTCCATAGTATTTATTTCGAATCTTTTAACAAGTGGCGTCCGTGACAGGACTATGGAAAATTTGAAATGTGAGAGAACGCAACTTCGGCGATTATTTACAAGATCCTTGAAAGAAATGGAAGCCGTCTTAAAGACAGAAAAGGTAACTAAAAATGATTTGATATCTGTTTTCAATATTTTACAAGATAGAGCCGAAAGGTTATTTATAATAGACGAAAAAAATATAAGTAATTTGGCTAGAAATAGAAAATTTGGATGAAACCGAATTGTCCAACGAAACAGATTTAACAGAAAATTACCGCTAACCGCTGAGTTTCTATGAAAGCCAAAGTAGATTTGAATTTGGCGAAAATTGAAAAAAAAAAAACGAGGAAATTCTTGAAGCATTAAATGAAACAAAACGAAATTTTCGTCTCCCTAAATTGGAATTGAAACGTTTCGACGGCAATACTAAAAATTGGCCTGGATTCTGTGGACAATCTAACAAAATTCATGAAGATAATAGCATTGATTCAGACGATAGGTTTCAATATCTTCTGAAAGCAACAGAAATCGGCACTTCGGCGAGAGATTTAGTCGAAAACTTTCCGCCATCTGGTACCAATTATTTTAAAGCGGTTGAGCAATTGAAATCTCGTTTCGCCAAAGATGAATTATTAATCCAAATTTATCTTCGGGAACTGTTAAATCTTGTTTTAACCCAAGCAAAAAGTGGTGAAAATTTTACATTGCGTGTTCTTTATGACAAATTAGAAACTCAACTACGAGCTTTGGAGACTTCAGGAGTAACGTCTGAAAAATACGAAGCTATGTAATATTCATTAGTTGAGTCTGCCTTGCCACAAGATTTCATCAAGGAGTGGGAACGAATGCGTAGTAGAGTTGACGATAAGGACGATTCAACTATTTTAAGCAGCTTCTTAGGATTTCTTTGATCGAAAGTTGAAAGTGAAGAGAGGCTACAACTTGCATGATCAGGTTTTGGAAGAAATCAAGAATTACCTATGTTCACCATGAAAGACAAAATTCCTACTGCATCTTGCATTGTAGCAAGTGAAAAGAAAAGGCTTGATAAAAATGTCAAGCAACATTTATTTTGTAATAAATCCTCTCATAGTTCAATGGAATGCTTTATGGTTATCGACATGCCGCTAGAGGAGAGGAAGGAAGATTTACGGAAGAAACAAGTGTTTCCTCTGTTTTAAACCAGGTCACCACTCAAAGTTTTGTAAAGCCTATATCAAATGCCTTTTTTGCAAAAAAAGACATCATAATTTTATGTGTTCCAAAATATGAATTGGCCAAAATACGACAAGAGGACAGAGATAAGCCTCCAGAATCAGAAGCGAAGGTTCTCTTATCGCCGAAGAATTCCTCAACCTTACTGTTAACTGTATTAGTGAAAATTGTTAATAATGAGAGGTTTGGAATTGCACGTGGATTGTTAGATACTGGAGCACAGAGACTTTTTATAAGAGATATTGCAAATAAACTAGGATTAATACCAGTAGATCAAGAAGTATTGAGTCATGGACTTTTCGGGAGAAGTGAAACTAAACAAGAATCACACCATGTGTATAACATTACATTGCAAAGTTTATGTTCAGATTTCAAGAGAAAACATTTCCGTTCTAGATGAAGAAAAAATTTGTGGTCATATTCCACGCGTACAAAATTCTAATATATATCCTATATTGAAAAGGAAAGGTATTAGTTTAAGTGATACGGGCAAAGATGTATACCGGAAATAGGCTTACTAATAGCAGCAGATTACATTGGCGCATAATTGATAGGAAAAACTGAGCCAATTGACAAGAACTTAGCAGCTATTGAAACAAAATTTGGATGGACACTCCAAGGTAAACAAAGAAACTGCTCAAATTCTTTGAAAAGTATTACTTATGCTACCAATTTAGATTTAACAGAACTATGGAGCTTTGATACCATCGGTATAAAAGATCCTGTAGAAGTCAAATCAAGACAACTCACTGATGAAGAAACTATTGAGTTTTTTCGCACACCACGAATTATTGTCCAAACCAAATAGCACCTAATACAACAATCTAACCACTAATAACTTAGTTCATACAAAAATTTTATTAGTTATATAACTTCCTGATTTCAGAGCTTGAAGCAGAAGTATATGCCATGAGAGGATATTGCTTATCCCTCATAAATTACGAATCAAAGTAAAAAAAATAAATATTTCGTTCGCAGGCACGAAAATCT